TGTAGCGCATATAGCGGCAGAACGAAACTAGCACAAGGGAAAATCAACCTTGGCTGCATACAAGTAAAGAGTAGCTCAACCGAACTACTCAATCTCACAACGAACAATCACTCACAAAGGACAGTGGGGCAGAGGGAACACTTATACACAGACTAATGAGGGAATGAGTACCAGGTGTGTGTGATTGACAAGACAAGACAAGACAAGACAAATGGAGAGATGATAAATGGAGCGGTAGTGGCTAGTAAGCCGGTGACGACGAACGCCGAAACCTGCCTGAGCAAGGAGGAGGGGCAGACTCGGCTGAATTCGTGACAGTGACGTGTGTGCCCAGTAGATCAGACGATCACGGATAAGCGCAGGCACGTACTGCAGCCCAGCTGGACACTGCTGTGGAGATCCGCGTCCATCGCCCATACTACCGGCGCCACAATACAGGAGTCTGGCAGTATGGGGGTGTTGTCTCTGGGCCTCTCCTCTGTATCATACAGCCGGGACAGTGCGTCTGCCTTCACGTTCTTCATACCCGGAATGTATGACAGTGTGAAATCAAACCGGGTGAAGAATAGGGCCCACCTGGCCTGGCGAGGGTTCAGCCTCCTCGCTGCCCGGATGTACTCCAGGTTACGGTGGTCCGTCCAGACGAGGAATGGGTGTTTCGCCCCCTCGAGCCAATGTCTCCACACTGTCAGAGCTCGGACAACAGCCAACAGCTCCCGATCACCAACGCCGTAGTTCTGCTCCGCCGGGCTGAGCTTCATTGAGAAGAACGCACAGGGGTGGAGCTTGGGTGGCGTGCCCGAGCGTTGAGACATGACTGCTCCCATCCCAACATCGGACACATCCACCTCCTCTACGAACGGTAGTGATGGATCGTGGTGGGCCAGTACCGGGGCCGAGGTGAACAGTTCCCTCAGGTTACTGAAGGCCCTGTCAGCCTCAGCAGACCAGCGGAGACGGGACGGCCCACCCTTCAACAGAGATGTAATGGGAGCTGCGTCCTTGCCAAAGTCCCGGATAAACCTCCGATAATAGTTGGTGAAGCTAAGGAAGCGCTGCACCTCCTTTACCGTGGTTGGAGTCGGCCAATTACGCACGGCTGCAATGCGGTCTCCCTCCATCTCCACACCTGTGGTAGAAATGCGGTATCCGAGGAAGGAGACGGACTGCTGGAAAAACGTACACTTTTCTGCCTTAGCATAAAGGTCATTTTCCAACAGTCGGGCCAGTACTTTGTGAACCAGGGACACATGCTCGGCGCGCGTTTCGGAATACACCAAGATGTCGTCGATGTAGACTACTACAACACGACCAAGCATGTCCCGAAACACCTCATTCACAAAGGACTGGAAGACTGAGGGAGCATTCATCAAACCATAGGGCATCACCAGGTATTCATAATGCCCCGTGGTTGTGCTGAATCCTGTCTTCCACTCATCTCCCTCTCGGATACGCACCAGGTTGTGCGCACTCTTGAGATCTGATTTAGTGAAGAAGTGCGCTCCATGCAATGACTCAACCACTGACGGAATGAGGGGGAGAGGATAACTAAATCTAATCGTCTCCTTGTTCAGTGGTCGATAGTCAATGCACGGGGGCAGACCGCCGTCTTTCTTCTTCACAAAAAAGAAACTCGAGGAGGCGGGTGAAGTGGAGGGACGTATGTACCCCTGGCGCAGGGACTTGGTGACGTATGTCTCCATAGCCTCCGTCTCCGGCTGCGACAGGGGATACACATGACTCCTGGGAGGTACAGCGTCTACCCGAAGGGTTATAGCGCAATCCCCCGCCCGATGAGGTGGTAATTTAGTCGTTTTATTTTTAGAGAAGACTTGTGCCAGATCATGGTATTCGGGGGGAATGCGCACAGTGGAGGCACTGTCTGGACTTTCCACCATGGTTGCGCCAATGGAAACACCCATACACCTATCCTGACACTCTCGCGACCACCCCGTGAGAACCCTCTGCGGCCATAAGAAAGTGGGGTTGTGGAGTGCTAGCCATGGAATACCTAACACAACAGGGAAAGCAGGAGACTCAATGATGGAAAAAGTGACCTGCTCACAATGTGTCTCCTGTGTGATCATGGTGACTGGTACCGTGACTTCTTTTATCAACCCAGACCCTAATGGTCGACTATCAAGTGCTCTGATGGGGCGTGGAATGGATAGGGGAACTAATTAAATGCCCTGGCGGCGTTTGAAAGTTTTGTCCATAAAGTTCCCAGCTGTGCCTGAATCGACTAGCGCCTTACACTGGGGAACTCTCATGTGATCAGGGAAGTAAATGTTTATAGTACAGTGCTCAGCAGAGGGCTCTAAACAAGAGTGGGTGCTCAATACCTGGGGTGATGCGAGAGTGCCCTGCCGGCCGACTCCTGACCCAAAAGAGCGCTGACGACAACGTGTGGTGGAATGTCCCTTCATACCATCCGAGTGGCACTGGCGTTGTCGTCCTCTGCTCTCTCAGTGCGCGGTACCACCCAGCTCCATGAGCTCTGGATCCGCGTCGGTCGGGGCGGGAATGGGCAGACCTCCTCCAGGACGTCCTCTGGTTGCCAGCAGGTTATCCAGACAAATGGCCATGTCCATCAGTTCGGTAAAAGACAAACTGGTGTCACGGCAGGCTAGCTCCCGTCGGACGTCCTCCCGTAGATGGCACCGGAACTGGTTGATCAGGGCCCGATCGTTCCACCCGGACCCTGCTGCCAGGATCCGGAACTCCAGCGCGAACTCCTGTACTGTCCTTGTCCCCTGCCTCAAGTGGACCAGCTGCTCACCCGCCTCTCGACCCTCGAGCGGGTGATCGAAAACCGCCCAAAATAGGTGGGCGAACTAGTCCTCCAACGCGGCTCCTCCTTCTCTCCAAACCGCGTTGGCCCACTCCAGTGCTTTCCCCGATAGGCAGGAAATGAGGACGGACACCTGCTCTCGATCTGATGGCGCCGGCCTGACACTGGAGCAGTACAGCTCAAGTTGGAGAAGGATACCCAGAATAGAGCCGGCGTCACATCGAACGCCCGAGGTCGGGATATCTGGATCCCTCCGGGTGCTGTGATGTAGGTGGCTGGATCCAGTTGGCCAGCTGGTCTCGACAGATCGGTTCCTCTTCTCTCCAGGCATTGGACGACCCGAAGAACCCGATCCATCGCTTCCCCCAAGCTGGCCAGCATCGTGGAATGCTCCTGGACCCTTGCCACGATTCCAGGTGTGCGCTCTTCTCCCGCTGACTCCATAGCTGGTGAGTGATTCTGTGATGAGGTGTGAATGACGGAGTCAGGCGCAGGAGGTAAAACACCGAAAACAAGAGTTTATTCAGTGTACAATAATGTAGCGCATATAGCAACAGAACGAAACTAGCACAAGGGAAAATCAACCTTGGCTGCATACAAGTAAAGAGTAGCTCAACCGAACTACTCACTCTCACAACGAACAATCACTCACAAAGGACAAGGGGGCAGAGGGAACACTTATACACAGACTAATGAGGGAATGAGTACCAGGTGTGTGTGATTGACAAGACAAGACAAGACAAATGGAGTGATGATAAATGGAGCGGTAGTGGCTAGTAAGCCGGTGACGATGAACGCCGAAACCTGCCCGAGCAAGGAGGAGGGGCAGCCTCGGCTGAATTCGTGACAGTACATGCATATGGAACACTCGGTCCTGATGAAGCCTTTGGTGGTGACTCTTATTAATTATTCTGAAGTTACTCTGCATTGGTGGTAAGATAAGTACTGTGGTCCGGGTGCCTGATGCTTTTTTATGGTCATTCCTGAAATTTTGTTTTTCCATGACAACTGCAAAATAATTGGGCTTCGAATTGAGCTTTTTAAATATATATTACACATCTCTGCCTCACTCCTTCTGAAATACATTTCTTTCTCAGTGCAACAGTGGTCTAGGAAACATAATCAAGCCTTTGCTTCTGCGTCAGATTGAGTAAAGTATTAGCAAATATATAAATCACAAACATGAACAACAAATCTGATCATCTCGGTTTATGTCTTTTTTGATAGTGTTGTTTTGCTGTAACTAGCTCATCACATACATGACTAGCCAGTAATAGTGTAATAGGACCATCTATTCTTTAGGGGAAGTTGGATTTAAGTTATGGAGCAGAATGGGAAACAAGCTATAGGGCAGAAACTGGATACACAGGATTTACAATACCTCCATGCTGATGAACAAGACCCTTACAATGCTAGACTTAGTAGACAGAGGACTAGGAGGTCACCAGATCAAAACTGGAAGTAGGCTTACTGTGTGAGAGGGAGGGGGAGGGCGTGACATACTGTACAATTACATGTTCTAATGGGTTTTCTACTGTATGCAATTTGATATCCACCGTTCTTAGCTAATGGATGGAAACATGGACTCTTTTAAAAGTAACAGGTTATGACTTATAGGGTACAACATGTGTTTTAAAGTAACCTGTACGTGTTGGTCAGGATGAAAGCTTTTAGAGAAAGCGTGCAATACCATTTCCAATGACAAAGGCAAGTAACAGAGAGCGGTGGAGCGGTGGTTTTGAAAAGGACTGAAAACACATACAATAAAGCCAGACAGACATCTTGTTGTGACTATTTGCAGCACTGGTGAACGACAAACATCTTGAAACCAAAAAGCTTTAGTCTAAAAAAGTGAGCATTGTGCATAGTTAATGTTTTCATTATATCCCTCTCCTATTACATGTATCTGCAGTGTTACAAGGAAGTGCAATAATGTATAACTCCTCTTAGTTCAGTGCACATAGATCACTGTTGCACTGAAGGGCCTCGCCACGCACCTTCTCCCCGTAAAAATCTCACAATAGGATTTTCTTAATATTTTTTTTTCAATTACAATATTTTGTGTATTTTTGTTACAATAACCCAGATGTGTTCCTCTCACTCAGTCCTAGGGTTGAGTCCACTTATGTCCACATATATCTTAAGTGTTTTGGCCTGATCTCTATTTCTCTCTCTCTCTCTCTCTCGCTCTCTCTCTCTTCCCTCTTTCTCATACCTCTCCCACCCACACCACTGTGTTCCCTCTCTTGATGTCTGACACCTCGCAATGGGGCGTCTTCTGTTTGCCGTTCAACACAAAGAGGGACTCCGCTGAGGGGGTGACCAGGTACTGGCCAAACAGTCCACTGGACACCACCACTCTGTTGGGGCCCCCCCAGGGCCAGGTGTGGGGTGACAGGGGCTCCTTGAGGCTCCTGAGGACCTCGCTGTGGCCTGACGCCAGGTCAGAGAAGAGCAGGTCCATGCCTGAGCCAGAGGCAGCTACCACCGTGTACTGGTTGGACTCAGTGAAGGAGGGCTGGAAGACCAGGTCGGACACAAGGAGAGTGGTGTCCAACTCCCAGCTCAGACCCAGCACCCCCTGGAAGGACACTGTTTGAACTCTGAGCTTGCCGCGCTGCTGGTCCGGTGTGACGATGTAGCGGCCATTCGGGGACACGTAGGGCTGGCCCGTGATGTTGAGGTTGGGCCCAATGACGGTGTCGGTGACACTGTCGATGAGGAGCTGTGGCTGGGCTGACGAGGGGTCCCTGCTCTGAGACTGGCACTGGATGAAGTAGAATCCACTCAGGTGTGTGTAAGCCATGCTGACGGGCACACAGCTGTAGTTCTTCAGGCTGATGGTCTTGACGCGGTGGAAGGTCTCCAAGTCAATCTTATGCACCGCAGGTTCAGATTTGAGGAAGGCGAAGCCAAACCTAAGATGACAAAGTTCAAGGGAAAGGTTAATGGTATTTTTTGGTGATTACAGTGTGGTCAGGATTCTCATTAAAATTCTAATTTGCTATTTTTTCCTCCACTTGAGAGGGATTGCGATGTTGAGGTGGTGAGTTCACCACCGTGTTTAAGGTTAGCGGGACATCCGTACCTGACGTGAGTGATGATGAGGTTGGTTGGAGGGATGAAGAAGTCATCAACCCTCTGGAAGGGGGTGCGGAGGGTGTGGTGCACCTCTCCAACACTGGCCTGGGGAATCACCTGGAACAGAGCAAAGAAGAACAGGAGAACAGGAAATATACAAATACAAGTATCACCTACCCAGCCAGAGAACAATAAGAGAAAGCATGGGTCGGAAAGTGTACTGAAACATAATAGCAAAAGTCAGATGTTAATGTTGCCATATATCCTACTGCAGATAAGGATCTACATAGAGCAGTATAGTTAGGCTGATGCAATATGGTCTCACCTCAAGACCTGATCGAGGATTGTATTGGGTCTGCTAAATGATGTAAATGTAAAATGTAATGGTTGGTTTAGGAGAGACACAGATAGAGCTGCTATCTCAAAGGTGTCGGTCTGACTCTCATTGGACGATCTATCCATCCACTCACTTTGGGCCCCACCCAGTATTCACATGACAAATGCTTCATCAGGTACTTTACATTATCAGGTCACTGTCAAGGACTAGTGGGATTCTCACTGTATATAACCACTGCTTTGTCCATACATCGGACCCCATAGTAGCCAATCAAACGACTTGTTCTTCCATAACAGTATATTAAGCAGTTTTTCTATTGGTTTTAAATATATTTGTTTTTCTTTAAAGAACTGTTGCACTAAAAGGAGGTAGGCTCCAGTACATCTTACACGCAGAAGGTATTTGTTTAAAAGGGAAAACAACTATAGATACTAATCTGAAGTCTGTGCCATCCCCACTAAAGCCCTAACACCATCACATTGTCATTGGGGGGCCTGATTTTGGATTTTGCAGTCTTCCTGTGAGTGAACTACTGACAGAGAAAATAACAAAAGTTTAATGCGGCTCCCTTTGCCACTGCATTCTACATATCTACAGAGCCCCTCATATCAGCTCTGCTCATAACCGACTTAAAAAACCCAGAAATCCCCTGTAGTTCCAACCCCTACAGGGTTTGGAGAGAAACCTTGTTAAAAAAAGGTAATTAGAATTGTTACATTGTTACAATGGTCCAGAGTTAATGTTTTCACTAACACATAATATTACTCATGTCTAATAAGGAAGTAATGCTCTCATACACTCAGGGTGTTCGGAAATTCATACCATCACTCTGGCCCCTGTCATCGCTCATCCTAATGGATCATACGCACGGTGTTACTGTATTTTACCTTAGCTGTTATTTTCTCTACTGCATTACTCCTACTGTACTTTAATACCTGAAGGGGAATTGGTTTGTACTGACTGAGTGGCTTTTATATTGAACTGCACTCATTTCAAGGCAGACTGTTGAATCTCAATGCTATTAAGAATTGCTTTATATCCTATTGGTCCCCACTTTAATATGAATATTGCACTGTAGTATAAGGACCATACCTTAAATCAAATCAAATCAAATCAAATGTTATTTGTCACATGCTTCGTAAACAACAGGTGTAGATTAAGAGCGAAATGCTTCCTTACGGGCGCTTCTCAACAACGCAGAGAGAAAAATAATCTAAAAATAATAACAGGAGGAATAAATACATAATGATTAGTGATACCTTGGGTACCAGTATTGAGTCGATGTGCAGGGGTAAGAGGTAATTTAGGTAGATTTGTACAGGTAGGGATAAAGTGACTAGGCAACAGGATAGATAATAAATAGTAGCAGCAGCGTATGTGATGAGTCAAAATAGTTAGTGCAAAAAGGATCAATTGAGATTGTCCGGGTAGCTATTTGGTTAACTATTTAGTAGTCTTACAATATGGCTTGGGGGTAGAAGCTGTTCCGGGTCCTGTTGGTTCCAGACTTGGTGCATCGGTACCACTTGCCGTGCAGTAGCAGAGAGAACAGTCTATGACTTGGGTGGCTGGAGTCTGCCAATTTTTAGGGCCTTCCTCTGACACTGCCTGGTAAAGAGGTCCTGGATGGCAGGGAGCTCGGCCCCAGTGATGTACTGGGCCGTACGCACTACCCTCTGTAGCGCCTTGCGGTCGGATGCCAAGCAGTTGCCATACCAAGCGGTGATGCAGCCAGTCAAAATGCTCTCAGTGGTGCAGCTATATAACTTTTTGAGGATCTGAGGGCCCATGCCAAATATTTTCAGCCTCCTGAGGGGGAAGAGGCATTGTCGTACCTTCTTCACGACTGTGTTGGTGTGTGTGGACCATGTTAATTCCTTAGTGATGTGGACACTGAGGAACATGAAGCTCTTGACTCGCTCCACTACAGCCCCGTCGATGTGAATGGGGGTGTGCTCTGCCCTCCGCTTCCTGTAGTCCACGATCAGCTCCTTTGTGTTGCTGATGTTGAGGGAGAGGTGTTGTCCTGGGACCATACTGCCAGGTCACTGACCTCCTTCCTATAGGCTGTCTCATCATCATCGGTGATCAGACCTACCACCGTCGTGTCATCAGCAAACGTAATAACGCAGTTGTGGATGAACAGGGAGTACAGGAGGGGATTAAACACACACCCCTGAGGGGCCCACGTGTTGAGGGTCAGTGTGGCGGATGTTAGGAAGTCCAGGATCCAGTTGCAGAGGGAGGCGTTCAGTCCCAGGGTCTTGAGCTTAGTGATGAGCTTGGAGGGCACTATGGTGTTGAATGATGAGCTACAGTCAATGATCAGCATGAACATCATTCTCACATACAGTGAGGGAAAAAAGTATTTGATCCCCTGCTGATTTTGTACGTTTGCCCACTGACAAAGACATGATCAGTCTATAATTTTAATGGTAGGTTTATTTGAACAGTGAGAGACAAAATAACAAACAAAAAATCCAGAAAAACGCATGTCAAAAATGGTATACATTGATTTGCATTTTAATGAGGGAAATAAGTATTTGACCCCTCTGCAAAACATGACTTAGTACTTGGTGGCAAAACCCTTGTTGGCAATCACACCTGGTGTAGTTGGCCACCAGGTTTGCACACATCTCAGGAGGGATTTTTTTCCACTCCTCTTTGCAGATCTTCTCCAAGTCATTAAGGTTTCGAGGCTGACGTTTGGCAACTCGAACCTTCAGCTCCCTCCAGAGATTTTCTATGGGATTAAGGTCTGGAGACTGGCTAGGCCACTCCAGGACCTTAATGTGCTTCTTCTTGAGCCACTCCTTTGTTGCATTGGCCGTGTGTTTTGGGTCATTGTCATGCTGGAATTCCCATCCACAACCCATTTTCAATGCCCTGGCTGAGGGAAGGAGGTTCTCACCCAAGATTTGACGGTACATGGCCCCGTCCATCGTCCCTTTGATGCGGTGAAGTTGTCCTGTCCCCTTAGCAGAAAAACACCTCCAAAGCATAAGACTAGCATAAAAAAAATGTATATATATATATATATAAGGAACTCAGTCCGGCTTTCAACTTACTCTTGAAAGTTGTAATAGTAGAAATCACAAGGTGCAATGTCAGTCATTGCATTTCTTAGAGAGCTATTTATAACTTGTAAGAAATGTCCAGATCAACTAGCCCATGTCGGCTAATGTTTTTGCTAGGTTTTTGTAGCCCTTAGATACTCATTTTTTTGTCACTCAAATATCACATGAATACACATTAGACACGGGAAAATGTATAGAATTGCAGGAAATAAGCTTTAAATCTGCAAAATGTTCTCTCTGCCAATAAGAGGGGTATGAACAGTTTGTGACATGAACAGTGCTTGTGCCCATAGAAATGGATGTTCCCCAGTGCTGGAAGGGGGGCCTGAGTGAAACAGTTTGGGAACCCCTGATCTATTTAGGGTCCTGGCTAAAAATAGTAAGTAAGCCTTGTAACAGCCAGAACGGCAGCTTGATGTACAAGTACACCTCCTGGACAGAATACTAGTCTATAGCAGGCAGCTTGATGTACAAGTACACCTCCTAGACAGAATGCTAGTCTATAGCAGGCAGATTGCTGTACAAGTACACCTCCTAGACAGAATGCTAGTCTATAGCAGGCAGCTTGATGCACAAGTACACCCCCTGGACATAATGCTAGTATATAGCAGGCAGTTTGATGTGTAAGTACACCTCCTGGACAGAATACTAGTCTATAGCAGGCAGCTTGATGTACAAGTACACCTCCTAGACAGAATGCTATTCTATAGCAGGCAGCTTGATGTACAAGTACACCCCTGGACAGAATGCTAGTCTATAGCAAGCAGCTTGATGTACAAGTACACCCCCTGAACAGAATGCTAGTCTATAGCAGGCAGCTTGATGTACAAGTACACCCCCCTGGACAGAATGCTAGTCTATAGCAGGCAGCTTGATGTACAAGTACACCTCCTGGACAGAATACTAGTCTATAGCAGGCAGCTTGATGTACAAGTACACCCCCTGGACAGAATGCTAGTCTATAGCAAGCAGCTTGATGTACAAGTACACCCCCTGGACATAATGCTAGTCTATAGCAGGCAGCTTGATGTACAAGTACACACCCCTGGACAGAATGCTAGTCTATAGCAGGCAGCTTGATGTACAAGTACACCTCCTAGACAGAATGCTAGTCTATAGCAGGCAGCTTGATGTACAAGTACACCTCCTGGACAGAATACTAGTCTATAGCAGGCAGCTTGATGTACAAGTACACCCCCTGGACAGAATGCTAGTATATAGCAAGCAGCTTGATGTACAAGTACACCCCCTGGACATAATGCTAGTCTATAGCAGGCAGCTTGATGTACAAGTACACCACCCTGGACAGAATGCTAGTCTATAGCAGGCAGCTTGATGTACAAGTACACCTCCTAGACAGAATGCTAGTCTATAGCAGGCAGCTTGATGTACAAGTACACCTCCTAGACAGAATACTAGTCTATAGCAGGCAGCTTGATGTACAAGTACATCCCCTGGACAGAATGCTAGTCTATAGCAGGCAGCTTGATGTACAAGTACACCTCCTGGACAGAATGCTAGTCTATAGCTAGCAGCTTGATGTACAAGTACACCCCCTGGACAGAATGCTAGTCTATAGCAGGTAGCTTGATGTACAAGTACACCCCCCTGTACTAATATCTAGCTGGTAGGCCTCTACTGGCCAATTCCATTGCATACCACCTGGACTGCAAGTATCTATTACAGTTGCGTCATTTTAACAT